CATGAAATAAAGTTAATTTAAATTGGAGAAGCAGCATTCAGTTTTTATGCTCCTCTATTCTGGAACAAACTTCTAGAAAACTGCAAAGATGCTGAAACACTGAGTTCCCTTAAATCAATTCTAAAAAAAAATAAAACAGTTTGGAGTTTCCTTTTATTAATAACAACTGGAGAATCGCAAACTACAGTTTGTGGTGTTTTCCCTTAGTTTATCACTACAATGTAATGTATTTTTTGTTGTTGTTAATCATGTGATGTACAGATAAACATGCCTTACATCTGAAATATTTTTATATCTATGGCGTCAGCAGAACTGAAACCCACAGATGGTGAGTCTGCTTCATACTGCTGACACCAGATGTGATCATTGGACAACAGTTTATAAGAAAAAATGTTGCAGCTTTAGCTTTGTTGACATGAAGGAACACTGCAAAAAGTATTTTTAGTCTACTGTCCAGTGGAGATATCTTGAACCTTTAAAATAAGACAAAACTAACTTACAAGTAACTTTTCAGCATGACACAAGAGCTTATTTTAAGTGAATAATTCTTTAATATTGATGAAAAAGTTCAACTTATAAGTGAAATAATATGCCAGCAGAACTTATACATTTCTTTAAAATCAATATTAAGGAATTAAATAGCTTAAAATAAGCTCCAATATGTTGCTGAAAAGTTACTTGTAGGTTATTTGTATTACTGCAAGTGTATTAAGATATTTGCACTAGGAACTAGACGGAAACATTTTGTTTTTCCAGTGACGGAGGTTAATAGGTTAACATAACCGTTTCCCAGAGCTAAACTAAAAATAACACGTTTTGCTACTGTTGTAATTACACTCATTATCATCTAAAAATGTGTGACCAACTTTTACTGAACCTCATAAAAGAGCAACGCTGCCTATTTCACCATAAGCTTAAACCTGTTAGCATATTTAGCATTAGCAGGAGCGCAGTAACCTAACTCTGTCATTGGTTACTTTTAATTGAATAAAGTAACTTTTACACTGTCGGCCTTAATGCTTAATTCAGATTTTTTTTTTTTTTTTTTTTTGAAATCAGATTTTTTTTTTCTTTTGCGAATGTTAGTTCAAATTTCCCAATGTGAACTAACATTCACGACCTGAATTTGTCCCGCATGCGCAGTAGATGGCGTAGTAACGTCACACGTAGCGAGCCTGCTACGTGCATAGACACAAGGATTATATATTATATAATATTATATTATATAATTTATATATATTATATTATTTCTATGGTTACGTGTATGGCCTGGCGGTGTTTTGCCAACCGCCATAAAAAGAAGAAGAAGAAGAAGAAGCGCTCCGTGTTTGCGGAAGTAAACATGGATGCTAATGACAGGAGCCAGCTCATTAACGACTTAATCTTCATCATAGTGCGCTACGATTGTTGCTTTTCTTCCCGCTTGCGCTTATCAGGACGCAGAATAGTGACTTGACGAATAGTGACCTGGCCGTACAGACACAGGTCTAATTTGAAAACATTAGCTACGTATCGTTTATCCAGGTGGCGTGGGTCGCAATAAAGCAAAGAAAACAAATCAAATTTGTGTCACTTCAGGCTTCCTTGAAAACTTTTCATAGGACTTTTTATGAGTAATGTTGTGCTACAGTTGCAAGAAAGCAAGCAGTCAATCGTAAATACATGAGTTGCTCAAGTGGGTCCTTCTTGTTAACGGCCTCACCCTGCTAGCTGCTGTGCAAGTTGTGTAACTGAATGACTCACATTCTTGGTATTATACGTGCAGAGGATGCATTAAGCAAGCAGTGCAAGAAAATGAAGCTCACTCTGATCTGAAGTCAGGTTATAGTTGCTGCTTTATGATTACTATGAGATATCTGTCATGGTTTTATCTTCCAGATAAACCCCCCCTGAAGCTATGAATCACAAAAGTAGAGAGATGTCAGATCCTACAGTAATCTGCTCTGTAACTTCACAGAGATGGTTTGCCAAAAACTGTACTCAAGTAAAAGTAGAACTACTTCAACATATTATTACTCAAGTAAAACTAAAAAGTAGCCGTCCAAGAAATTGCTCAAGTAAAAAAGTATTTGATAAAAAGTCTACTCAAGTACTGAATAATTGATCAAATTATCAACCATTTAATGTTTAAAAATGAAATGGATGGAGCAAAATAAATTAAGTGAAAATGTTATTTTATGAATAAAAATGATAATTCATATCAGCAACAATAACTAAATCGGGTGAAATCATTTTTTTCTTTCTTTAGATATAAAATAAATAAATTTTAGATATTTTTTGGGTTAATTGACACTTTATAACAAATTTTCTTTAAATTTTAATCATTCAGGCAGAAAATGTCATCTAAGTTAAGGACATCAGTATTCTGTTAACACTTGAGAGATACGTTCACTCCCTGCTTTTTAAAAAGGGCACACTTTTTTTCCTGCAGAAAAAAACATGAAGGATACAACAATATAAATGACAAAAAATATGTATTCTATCAATTAAAAATGCAGAAAGTTTTGCCCATTTTTCCACTGGCTGCAGAAAGTTGTCAAAATATAAAATGTTGGTGTAAAAAAATCAACAGTTTATCACGGTTTCCCTCTCATTTTGTTTCTGACTGGCCGTCTGTTTTTCTTAATGAATGAAGGACTGTTAAAGTGGGGAATCGTGATGCAGAACTCGTGCATGTTCCTCACACCTTCCCAGAAATGCTCTTTCAGATTCATTTCAGCCACTGATGATGGGAGCATCTGGATCCTGTTACTGGGCTCGTTCCAGAGGAAAGTTAGAGCTGCTGACAGCAAACAGGAAAACGGAGCAACGCGCAGAAACTCAGAGATGCTGGGGCAGTTTTACACTTAAAGTAACGATTTGAATGGAAAAATTATTACATCTTATGTACATTTGACATTTTAATGCAAAATTTCTCCCATTGCTTGTTTTTTAGGGGTTTTTTTGGACGAAACAAGCCTCTGCACATTTCCCTCTCTGATTTATATCAAGGAATCAATCACTACCATAAAGTTAGATTATGATTGTTTATTTTTAAGACTTACAGCATCAAAATGAGCCGTTTCAAAAACCTTATGATTGTTCAGTTACACTCGACAGGCACTGCGCCGTTACCTAGCAACCCAGCGAAGCCCAGCCCGGTTACTTAGCAACCCAAATTGAGCTCCACGTTTTATTTTTACCACAGGTGAGTAAAATAACCCCCAAAATTGTACTCAAATAAAAGTATCACTACTTCCACCTATTTTTACTCAAGAGTAAAAATAAGCTGTCTAAGAAATTACTTTAGAGTAAAAAAGTATTTGGTAAAAACTCTATTCAAGTACTGAGTAAATGATCAGATTATCAATCATCGCATATTTAAAAATTACATCATCAGATGGACCAAAATATAAAGTGAAGCGGAAATTTAGGCATTTTAAGGACAAAAAAGTCAATAATTCACACAAGTAACAAAAAATTAAATCAGGCAAAAATAAATAAATACAAATTCCAAATCAGTTTTCTTCAAAATAAAACTTTAGATACTTTAACAGAAGTTGCAGATGTGTGTCTGAGTCTGGTGGATTTTTGGTTAAAACACGTTTGTTTTTCATTCAGTGGGTTGAAAATCCAGAAATTTTACTCAAGTAAGAGTAGAAATACTTTTAATAAAATTACTCAAGTAAAAGTAAAAAGTACAGCGTAGTAAGAATACTCCTAAAAGTACATTTTTTTTACTCCAGTAAATATAACTAATTACTACCCAACTATGTTTTTAACTTACCATCCAGAAACCATTTGCTGCATTCTTGTTGGTTGTGCAGGAGGCTCTACTAATGCTTTTCAAAGATGTATGGTTGTGTAATTGTGCGTCTGTTTGCAGCCATTTTCATGTGTGTGTGTAAACATTGAGTTTGGGGGCGTGGCCAGAAGCAGTTTATATGGATTTAAAGTGACAGAAGCTCTAAAACATTCAGAGAGGATTTTGAGCAAAACCCCAAAATGAACATGTTTCGTTTTGTCCATACACCCATTCTAACCTGTTAAACATAATGGTTCACCTTTAATGTTCTGCAACCAGCTGGTAAGAAAAAGCTGTGGGATTAAGTTCTGCTGGTCTTTATCCCGTCAGAGTCTTTTCAGTCAGAGTAACGTTTCGTCAGTGATTTGTGAATTTGAACCCGACTGTCACTTCCACTGCTTCCTGTTTCTCTGCACTGATCACACACAGCGATGCAGTACACACCTACACACACCCATTGGCCACTGGTGTGGCTGGTCCGCCTCCGCTCTGTCTGCTTTATAAAGGCAGGCCACACCAAAGGAGTGAAGTTACACAGACTGGCCCTTTAAACTCCCTGTCAGCTCAGATACGACTAATTGGTGACATTTTCTCTCTGCGTCTGATATTTGAGATTTTGGGAAGATCTCAGAAGAGTTTGTGTTTTTTTGTTTTGCTTTGCGGTCATCAATGGATTTGTCAGACTTTCCCTTCCCTCTCTCATCAGCTGATGACCTCTATGACCCCTGCTTCAACACCAGCGACCTGAACTTTTTCGATGACCTGGATGCACGGCTGACGCACGGCGGCCTGCTGAAGTCGGAGGATCATCTCCATCACCACGTGCCAACAGCGGAGGAGGAGGACCAGCACGTGCGGGCCCCAGGGGGCCTCCACCAGGGGGGCCACTGCCTGCTGTGGGCCTGCAAGGCCTGCAAGAGGAAGACGACGCACGCCGACAGGAGGAAAGCGGCGACGATGCGGGAGAGACGGCGCCTCAGCAAGGTGAACGACGCGTTTGAGACGCTGAAGCGCTGCACGGCCTCCAACCCCAACCAGCGGCTGCCTAAGGTGGAGATCCTGCGGAACGCCATCAGCTACATCGAGTCCCTGCAGGCGCTGCTGCGGGCCGGCCAGAACGACGGCAGCTTCTACCCGCAGCTGGAGCGCTACGGCGGCGAGTCGGACTCCTCCAGCCCCCAGTCCAGCTGCTCCGACAGCACGGTGAGGCCGCGACAGCTGAACGGTCCATGTGCTGCCTCATGAAATGTGAGGAATGGAACCGGAGATTTATTTTGGGCTCCTGTGATTAGTTTTGATGAATGGTGTCTTTAGAATGGAACAACACACACTGCAAAAACACAAAAGTGATTTTTTTGGGTCCAGTTTCTAATGCAGATGTAATATATTTAAAAAATTGAATTTTTACATATTTTCTCACTTTTATTTAGATTCATTAGCATAAATGTTGCTTCATATCTTCTGATTTTAAAAATAACTTACAAGTGACTTTTCAGCAAGATTTAGGAGCTTGTTTTACGTGAATAATTTCTCAATATTCATTAAAAAGTACTGGCTGATTATCTCACTTACAGCAAGGCATTTTTCCCGTGTTATAAGTGAAATGGTCTGCCAGGGGAACTAGTATTTTCCAGGGATTCACAAGCTTTCCCCACCAGTAACCCCGTTTGGATAATGGTCCAAAATATGCAAAGAAACAGAGTTTTACATTTTTTCTCACTTTTATTTAGATTCATTAGCATAAATGCTGCTTCATACCTTCTGATTTTAGTTGCCAATGATGTTGAATATATTACACTGCAAAAACACAAAATATTACCAAATACTTCTGGTCTAGTTTCTAGTGCAAATATCTTAGTACACTTGTAAGATAGTTTTGTCTTATTCCAAGTAACTTTTTCAGCAAAATATGGAAGCTTGTTTTGAGTAAACATTTCCTTAATATTGATGAAAAAACAGTAGTTCAACTGGGAGATTATTTTACTTATAAAAAGACATTTTCCCATCTTAAAAGTGAAACAATAAGCCAAAAGAACTGGTACTTTTTTTTTATTAATTTAAGGAATTATTTAGTTAAAACAAGCTCCTATATCTTGCTGAAAAGTTACTTGTTAGTTTTATATTCCAAGTGTAATAAGATATTTGGACTATAAAGTAGAAAAAAAATACTTGGTAAGATTTTGTGTGTTTTTTGCAGTGAACTAGATAAACTCTTTCCGTCTTTTGATAAGAAAATATGTCAGATTTTTATCTTGATCTCTTCAAAATTTATTTAGTCTCCTTACTTTTTAGTTTTGCTAGTACAGCTGAACTTCCTTTGCTCATTTTCTTGACAGAAATTTTTCCATTTCTGGGTTAAGAAGCGAAGCAGCTAAATAAATTTGACTTTCAGTCAATCAAATTTCCTGCCAGCACAGTTTCCCTGAAATAAAGGATATTTCTATCTAATTATTAGTTATTTTAACTTATATTTTATAATAATGTCTGAAAAACAAATCATATTTTTGTAAAAAAAAAGTACATTTATGATTTTAAAATGTATTTTAAATTTTTTTTAGTTTGCCTTTTTTTCCCCTCATTCGACTTACAAAATTCTGAAGCTCTCTAGCGCCCCTAGCGGTCTTCACTTTGAAAAACACTGATAGTACACTTAAAAAAAGACAAAACTGACTTATGAGTAACTTTTAAGCAAGAAGTACAAGCTGGTTTTCAGTTAATAATTAATAGTGATTGAAAAAATTAGTAGTTCCACTGGCAGATTTTTTTCACAAAATATTGAGTTATAAAAGAAAAACTCAAATTACTTTTAAAAAATCAATATTAAGGAATTATTGACTTACAACAAGCGTCTTGCTATTGTAAGTCTTGCTGGAAAAAGTTAGTTTTGTCTTATTTCAAGTGCATTAAGATATTTACACCTGAAACTAGACAAAAAACCTGGTAAGATTTTGTTTTTGCAGTGTAATGGCTTTTTCTGCACACCAAGTTGTTTTAAATATAATTCCTAACTCATGTTCATCAGTTTAGCTACAATTTGTTGTTGTTTTTTTAAATAAAGTTTAAGGTTTCATTAAAAATATATATTTTTATATATATATAAAATATATATATAAAAATATATATATATTTTATATATATATATATATATATATATATATATATATATATATATATATATATATATATATATATATATATATATATATATATAGACACAAAAAGTGTCTAGAAGGGAATTATTTCACCTTTTTCAGGTGTTGGAAATGTTAAGTGAGTCAGCAAATTGCATTTTAAAGATTACAAATTAAAGATTAAAAAATTGTTTTTATTTTACCAAAGCATATTTGTTTTCTTTTTTAATAAAAAATCATGTATTTACATAAAAGGTATAAAAACACATACCTTTTCTTTGTCTCAGTAAATCAGGCTGAACATTAGATGTTTGAAGTCTGTTGGTATTTGCTTCTGCAGCTAAATGCTAAAATAACTGGAGAATTTTTTTCATCAATGGAAACTTTAAAAAGTGTCTAAAATCAAATGTGAAATAAATCAGAAAATAGCTTTTTAAAAATTAAATTTTTTTTTTTTTTTTTTTTTTTAGTTTGTGGTAATTTGACAGTCAATAAAATGTAAATACCTTATGAGATGTTTATATGTTTCCAGATGGATTTCATCTCTCCATGTTCGGCCAGCAGTGAAAATGGAAACACTTCCTGTGGAAAACAAACAGTAGACGGTGAGTACTTGTAGTTTTTTAAATCCTTTACCATATAGAAGTTTTTTTTTATTTATGAGTTTCTTCATTTATTCATGTTATTTCTGGGTGGGGTTTTTCTTCAATTTAATCATAACAAACCGATCCTCTTAATAAATCTTTTATTTCAGTAATTTAGTGTCATTTTAGACATTTTAGAATGCAAACAAAATCCAAATTTACAGAAAAAAAGTATGTTCGTTTAATTTTAAAACAAAACACTAAAAACAATTTATTGGTACAGGACTCACTTTGTTGAAGTTCAGTGGGAGTAAGATGTGCTGAGGATTTTCTTTCTCTCATTTTGCTGCTTTTTGGAGGTGATGCGGTTTTGTTGTTGCTTTAAAATCATGACCTTTGACCTGAAGCTAAGCGCGTAGAGTGTCTGGTCCGGTAAACAGAAGGACGTTGTCTCCTGGAGAAAGGTGGACTGCTTTCCCAAGGTTGGGGAAAGAAGCAGGAAGCGGATTGTAGAGCAGGGCATTATGGGAAAATACAACCAAATCAAACGAGTTAGCCGAGCGCTAGCAGGAGAAATGACTTGTGGTTTTTAGCCAAAGATAAAAGAGAAATCCCACAACAGCTAAAAGCTGACGCCGCTCCATTTTTATTTAAATTGTGCGAAGAAGGAAGTTGCGCTCAGTGTCTTTTTCAAAGGCATAGAGGCATGAATACGTTCAGAGGTTTTCGTGTCGTTTCGTTCAGTGGTCCTTGGTGCAGCGCCCCCACAGGCGAGGAAGGGAACAGTTTTTTCAGAAGTTTGGTTCGTTACACGCAATGCAGTGACGGAGAACTACACCAGCTGAAAATGTAACAAATGTGATTTTGGTCCCAAATCAAACAGAGTCTACCGGACTATCAGGTGTGAAAACACACTTAATTATTGCTTCCAATTCATTCTTATAGGAATGATTCCTCTCCACTGTTTACTGTGATTTTCTGGCATTTTGTAGACAGATAACCTTCGACCAATTTTATTATGATCTTAAATATATTGTTTGATAACAGGATTCACTACGGTTATATATTTGATCTTGTGCAGCCTTGAGATGACATTTGTTTATTGGCACAATTTATATTAAATTAATTTAATTATATAAAAACTGAAGAGTTAAAAAGTGAATCTGTGAATTTACTCAAAATTTAAGTTGTAATTATTTAATAAAAACATTTTTTAAGAAAAATGAGGAAGAATTAGGATAAAGTGCTCCGGACTCTTATCCTGTCATAAATTTCCTACAAAAAACTTCAACATTTCTAAGGCTGGAAATTCAAAAGGTTTCTAGATTGAGATAAATCTCTCTGAAATGTTCTAGAAAAAAGATTTCTGAATATGAAAAGTCAAAAATTTGCTCAAATTTTGAGATTAATCTCAAGTATGTTGTTTGGAATATTAAAACTTTGCCTGAAAACAAACAAACAAACAAACAAACAAAACAAACAAAAAAAACAAAAAAAACAAGGACATTTCTGTTCAGGAAGAACATTTTTCAAAAGTAAATAATTTTCAACTTTTGTAGTTCAGAAACTTCCAAATATTTTCTCAAAACTTTCTGAGATTTTTTTAATATCAAAATTATCATTTTTCGAAGCTAAGAAATGTCTGTTTTTCTTGAAAAACTTCGGAGATTAATCTAAAAATGTCTGACATTGTTTCTAGCAAGTTTCAAACAAAATTTCCTTTTTTTTCTAGGAAATTTGATTAATCTCAAAATGTTTGAGTTTTTTTCTTACAAATTTTTAATTTTTGGATTTCAGACATTTTCTTGTTTTTTTCTAGAAATTTTCTTAAAATCTCAAAATTTCTGAGTTTTTTTTTTTTTTTTTTGGCTGAAATGTACTTTTTCCTCTTTCTCTGATATATTGATGCCTTTGTATATATGCATGTGTTATCTGACTTTTTAAAATGTTGTGTGTGAAGGTTGCAGCAGCAGCAAGTCGTCGCTCATTTCCAGCTTGGACTGCCTGTCCAGCATCGTGGAGCGGATCAGCACCGACCGGGCCGTGGCCCCCGCCGGAGACAGCGTGGTCCCCCAGGGGGCCGAATCCCCTCACGACGGATCCGGTGTCACTTCTTCACCTGCGGATCCCGGCAGCATCTACGAGCCAATCTCATCCTGATGGAGCCAACAGCGCCCCCTGCCGCACGGACTGAAACATTGCCTCCATTTTTAAGGAGGAAAACTCTAAATTATTCCTGATTTCTGAAGTAAGCCACTGAAATAGCTGCATTTTCTTATGGATGAAACAGTTTTCCCTGAAGTTTTGTCACATTTTAGTTGAAAAAATGAATTCTGCTGTCTGTTTTTAAGCATCCAGGATTCCTGGAGACGACCTTTTCACGTGATTCCTGCTGATAAGAACTGAGGACCATTAGCACATCTGACTAGTCACGCTATGACAAAAAAACCAAAAAACAAAACACATTTAAAGTGTTGGAGTGAATGTCTGTATGATATTTAAGAGCTGATGAAATCTTAATAAACACATATTTATATTGTGACTTTTTTCACAACCACAACTTCTCACATCCAGAATTATTTTATTTTTCCAACATACATTAATGAAATATGGCTGAACTATTAGCCAAAAACATGAACAGAACTGTACTTGCACTTTCCAGCTCTTTTTAGAGCATATTATTGATTCATTTCAATCTAACTTATGATCCGTTTGCTGGTTTTCACTCCTACACTGCAAAAACAAAAAATCTTACTAAGTATTTTGGTCTGGTTTCTAGTGGAAATATTTTAGTACACTTGAAATAATACAAAACTAATTTAAAAGTACATTTTCTTCAAGATATATGAGCTTGTTTTAGGTTAATAATTCCTTAATGTTGATTTTAAAAAGTGCTAGATCCACCGGCAGATTATTTCACTTGTAACAAAACATTTTTCACATAAAAATGAAAATCTGCCAGTGGAACAAGCACATTTTCATCAATATTAAGAAATCATTGACTTTAAACAAGTTTTTTTTTTTTTTGCTTAAAAGTTACTTAAAGTTTGTATTGTCTTATGTACAAAAATATCCACACTACCAATTAAAATAAAAATATTTGGTAAGATTTTGTTTTTTGCAGTGTAAAAGCCAGCCAAATGGTCTTTATGCTGTTTTTTAAAAAATAAAATACCTGCATAATCTGGTGAGGATAATGCTTATTAAAAGTAATAATGTCTTCAGCTATAATCTTTAAAATTACCTAAAAATAAAGCAGTTTTGAATATAGATAAACATTTAAACACATAGCCACTAAAAGGATAAAAGTGGAAATTCCTGTTATTTTAATTAAATATTAAAGAACAAAAAATGGTCTTTAAGAACTGAATTTCCAGTATGCATTAGCAAAATTGCCTAATTGATAAATACTGAAAGCCATAAATATCATACATTTAAAATAATAATAATAATGAACCAAAGAAGCATCTTCTGACTGATTTTAATATTATAATTTTTGTCAGGCTTAAGTAACTTTTTAATTCCCTCAAACAAAAGCAAAGAGTTTTTCTTAAACAAAAATATCATTTTCTTTTAAAACACATTTTTTATTGGAGCTATATTTATTCTGAAGCCATTGCACTTAAGCAGAAACAGGAACTAAGACATCCAGTTGTCGCCGTCGCCACAGAGTCTGCGTTGAGGTTGCGACCTTGGCCGACCTTTTCCCCGACGCTGCTCACTTCCTGCGGCGTGAAGCGGCTCCCTTCTTGCTGCTGCAGGGCGCAAAGAGCAACACGAGTTCAGAAATAAAACAGAAATGTTTCATATACTTTTATATAAAATCCCTGGAGGGAGATGAAACTCCCAAACTGAGGCGGACTGATGAGCTTCAGATGAACAGCGCCCTCTGCTGGCAGATGACAAACATTCCGAGTCACAGCTAAATTAAAAGCGAACAACAGGGGGCGCTGATGCGAAGAAAATCAACAAGTGATCAGAAAAGTGAACCTAAACCAAAGAAAGAGAGCTGTTGTATAAATTCATCTACACTGCAAAAATACAAAATGTTACTTTATTTCTTCACACAAGAAATAAAAAATTCAATACATGCATTTGTACAACAGCATATTATGGCCAATGTAGGTAGTAAAAAAAAAAATTAATCTCAGAAATGTTCTAGAAAAAATAAAGAAACAAACAAAAAAAGTAGAAGTTTTGCGATTGATCACAGAAATTTTACAGAAAAATCTATGAAATTTCTGAGTTTCAAAAGACGCAAATTTGTGACTTTTGGAAATTTTCTGAGTTTCAAAGGTAGAAAACTTTTAACTTCTGAAATTCAAAAAATTCAATTTTTTTCAGTACATTTTCTGAAGTTAGTCTAAAAATTTCTGAATTATTTCCAGCAAATGTTTGACTTTTCAAACTCAGACATTTTCAGAGGTTAACCTCAAAATTGGTTTCTTCCAAGGACAAAATTTACTTAAAAGTAATTTTTCAGCAAGATATGCAGACTATATCTTGCTGAAAATATTAATATTCAAATATGTAGATATTTCTTAAATTTAAATTAAAATTTTTTAAATGAAATTTAAAAAGTGCAGACTGATTTTATCACTTATAACTGTAAAAATGTCTTCAGCCAGTGGAACTGGTACTTTTTGAAAAAATATAATCTATACTAAATTTTTTACTTAAATCTCACCTCTAAATCTTGCTGGAAAGTTACTCTGAAGTTAATTTTGTCTTATTTCAATTGTACTTAGATATTTGAACTAAAAACTAGACAAAAATGCTTGGTAAGATTTTGTGCTTTTACAGTGTACAACCACATAAACAGCTTTGTTTCATCTTATTATGGCTAAAACTAAACAAAACAAAATTATAATATTAGTTTCCAGGTTTGTTTCTGATAATTCAACAGAAATGATGTCATCAGAGATCCAGCGAGGTCAGGGTATCTGTCAGTTCCAGGGTTTTAAATAAAATGACTTAAAAACTAAATGTGGATGGATGGATGATGTTTTTATATTTTAGTTTTTTTGCATCCTTATTAAAATGAGGAAAATTATTTAAATGACATTCCAGAGTTTTCCAGACTGCAGGAATCCAGTGTGTGCCATTTTTAAGCTGCTTTGTGTTTGCATAGTTTGTCTTTGTTCACTTACTGTTTCTGCAGCTCGTCGATGCGGTTTCTGAGAGAGATGACCTAAAAACAACAACTCTGAGTTAAAAAAATAAACTTCTCATTTTGCTTCGATTAAATTCACATGATCACATGAGGAGGAAATAAACAAACTTAATTTTTTCCATAAGTCACTAATTTATTGGCGTTTATAGAATAAATCTAGAGAGAAATACTGTATATGTTTTAGTATTTCAACCTGCATTGCTATGACAAATATATGTATATAACAGAAAACATTTTTATTTTTAAGTTTAACTCTGGTTTGTACATTTTTCACCTCATATCTTTGTCTCTTGAGCATCTCACAGTGGTCGTATTTTATCGCCTCCAGGTTGGTCAGCCAGTCCCAAAGCTCTTTGGCCTTTTCCCTGACAAACACAGCAGGAACCATTTTCACTGTCTGGGAGTCATTCAGCTCATCACTTTAAATGTTTCTTTTTTTTTTTTTTTTTTTTTTTTGTAAATTTTGACCTCTTGGCAAAAGGAATGTGTGGTATTTTTCAGTGAGGTAATTTTATTTATAAAGCACATTTTGAGCAACAAAGCAGTTTAAAGTGTTGACCTTTCCTGATCAGCTTCAGTCATTTTAGTTTTTGATCTATTTGCAAGAATTTGGGTTGATCTTAAATTTGGGTTGAGTCAAATTCTGCAACTCTTTACATGTTGCATACAACAGGCTATAAGGGCTATACTGAGGAAAATTAAAACATATGAGAATAAAGTAGAAATGATATGAGAAAAAGGTGTAATATTTAAAAAATAAAGTCATAATATGACGAGAATAAAGCTGAAATAATACAAGAATAAATTTGTAGTAATATGAGAATACAGTCAGGATATTATGAGAATAATGACTTTATTCTGGTTATATTAGGACTTTATTATCACAGTTTTATTACTTCACTTACAGAGCGTCATTCTCTTAATGCAGTTTTTAATCAAAGTTCTTCTGAAACAACCAATTTTACTCTGATTTATAATCCACCATTACCAGCATGCTGGCATATTTGATTTTAATCTGGTTGTTCTGTTTTATTAATGTTTATATGTAGGATATTTCTTTATATTTTATCCATTTTATTTGATTTTTTTATTTTGTAAATGTTTAACAGTTTGCCTGTGAAGCACTGTGAAGTTTCACTGAGCTTGAAAATCAAATAGAAATAAAACCTTTCACTTATAACAAGATATTATTCCTACTGTCGAAGTAAAATAATTTGCCAGTGGAACCAGAACTTTTTCATCAATATTAAGGGATTACTGCCTTAAAACAAGCCCATATTTTGTTCTGAAAAGTTACTTGTAAGTTAGTTTTGTATTATTTCAAGTGTACTAAGATATTTGTACTAGAAACTAGAGTAAAATTACTTGGTGAGATCTGGTGCTTTGCAGTAAAACCCAGAGAATCAAATGTTTTTACCTCAGCTGGTCGTCTGTGAGGCTGTCGATGCTCAGCGGTTTAATCCTCTCTGCCAAAACCTTCTTCTTCTTTTCTCTTTCGGTCTGCTTCTTGCCTCTCTTTGCATCAATCTGGTAAGAAATAAAAACATTTAAAGTTAAATTTCACAGCTGCTTTTCTGAGATTGAATATAAAATGTTCCATGAAAGGAAACACGAAGCAGGTTAAATACCCTCTGCAGGTGGCTGCTGAAGCCTGACCCCATGTTGGTGAGAGCTATCTTTTTCTTGGCATCATCGTCAGCCTTCCTCTGTGCATCTGCCTCCTCCTTCCTCATCCTCTCCGCCTGTGGAAACATTAAAACCAGAAAAAAATTAAGCAACATGCAAAAACACCTCCAAGCCAGCAGAGGTCAGTGAAACACTGACGCTTCATACTTCCTCTTTCCAGAGCCGGGCAGAGTATGCAATAAAACTACTTCAACATATATTTATCAAGTAAAAGTAAAAAGTATCTGTACAAGAAATTACTCAAGAGTACAAAAGTATTTGGTAAAAAGTTTACTCAAGTACGAGTAACTGATCAAATGATCAGTTATTTAATATTTAAAAATTACATCGTCAGACAGACAAAAATTTAAAGTTCAATGGAAATTTTGGTATTTTATTTTAAGTAACAAAAATAACGAAATCAGGCAGAATGCATTTCTCCAAATCAGTTTCTTTCAATAAAAATCTTAAGAAGCTAACAGAAACTGCAGGTTTGAGTCTGGTGAATTTTTGGTTTGTTTTTAATTCAGTTAGTAGAAAATCCAAGAAATTTATTCAAGAGTAGAAATACTTCATAATAAAATTACTCAAAGTACAGCGTAGTAAACATGCTGCTAAATACTTTTTTTTCAAAAAGTTACTGAAGTAAATGTAACCAGTTCCTGCTCATCTTTGCCTGTTTCCTTTGAAGACATGAAATATTTCAGGTTTGCTTTACCTCACGCCGCGCCTGTCGCTCTTTATCTTTCTCAGCGCGAATCCTCTGCTGCTCGGCTCGCTCCGCACGGCGCTTTTCCTGCAACAAGCACAGCAGACTCACTTCCTGGAGCTGAATGCGATGTGCACGTCTGCACGTCGTGGGAAACTCACGATTCTTTCTTTGAGCGCGATCAGTTCCTCCTCCTCCTTCTTCCTGCACTCAAAGTGAGCGTCGATCAGAGACTGAAGCTCAACCAGATCTTTGTTCTGACGTTTCTTCTGAATGTCCTGTGATAAAAACACAACAGATCGACGTTAAGAACCTGCTGCTGAACAACGAGGGGCTGGGTGTGGTTTTCCAAAAAACAGACTGAAAACAGTCAACAAAAACCAAAAAAGTCACCTAGCAGTGAAGTGTATCTGAAAGTGATCTTTGTATAACTGAGTTACATGAAGATTTTAGAGAAACTGATTCCTGTGCAACACGGTATGATGGCCACTGTAGATAGAAAAAAAGGAGGAGTAAATTTCTGCCCGAAATCTCAGAACTTTTCTAGAGAAAACAAGAAAGTTTCTGAATTTAAAAAGTCAAAAATTTGTAAGAAAAAACTCAAAGATTTTTAAGACAAAAACCAGGAAATTTCCGAATTTGAAAAGTCCAAACTTGTCAACTTTTGGAACTCATGACATTTCCTAAATTTCATTTTTTTCTAGCAAATTGTTCACTTTTGTTGAATTTTTCTCTAGTATAA